TCGGTCATTTAAAACTTTTTATATTTCGCCTTCGAACTCCACCTGGATCAAGCGTGGTGCAAAAGCAGCAAAGCCATTTTGTAGAGCATGTTTTACTCTATCGAATGATAACCCATACAGTATTTGAGGTTTGCCCTGTTACGATGCCATGACGAGAAAATAGAAAGGACATTCTTTTCTTTCCAACCTAATAAAAGTGAGATCAGAGGTCGTAAAAGTAAGATTCAAAACCTCCCCTTTCGCTAAGTGATACTCTTAGCACAGATTATGTAGTGTTAGTCCAAGCTCTGAAAAGGCAAGTAATAACGCCAAAACGTTGATTATTGTCGTTGACATCCATTGAAAACCTTTCAGCATAGCTGCTACTGAAAAACAGGTGCATTTTGCAGGTTCTAAGCATTACCCTATCTTACCAAACTGCTACGCTCCCTTGTTTGCGCTAGGCTATCGAGTAGAGTAGTTGACCGAAAACTACGCGCTCTACAATGCAAATTTTTTCCTTCTAAATGTTGAATTATATAATAGGATCTATGTTTGCAATGCATCAATTCAATTTGCGCTACAAATATTGCTTTCAAGTATAATTTAAAAGTTAGCCCGTGTTTCCAGCTCGTGCGGATGCAAATGCGATAGCACCAGTAAATGACTCTTGGTGATAACACACAATCAAAATTTGTTCGTTGTGCTTTATGAAATGAGTCAAACGGCAAAAATTGTCTAAGTTTTAGCATAATTTATTCTAGAGGATGTCTCTGTACTCAAACCACCACTTTTTGGAGAAAAATGGAAACTATCAAACATTAGTAGTCATTGAATAAAGATTCATTTTATTTGTTTTGGCTGAGAATAGCAAGCATCAAGATAAACATATGCAAATTCTCTAACTATGGATCGATCCGGTATCTTTTGTGCCATCCCATAAAGCGCTGCCTAAACAGCAGTGTACATAGCGTAAATGCAAACGAACTCAAATCCCTCACTGCTTCTTCCAACTCAGCATTAGGATTTGCTTTAATCTCATTTATTGAACTTCTGATGTCCTCAAGAAGCTGTTCTGTGACGCCATCCTTTGTATGATTCAAAGTCACCATTATATGGATACT